AGTAACTCTAAGTAGCGCTGTTCCAAGTTTTTGCATAGTGCTGGAGTGGGAGGGTGAGGGGCTCTCCTCTCCTCAGCTCCGTCGCCCCCCGCCCCCTCGACCAGAAGTCCATCCTGGACGGGTCTGTGCTGCTCACTTAAACCGAAGGGTTCAAGAAGGCCAGTCGAAAGATGGACAGGAGTCTTGCAAGTGGCTGGTTGCTGCTGATGCTCTAATTCCCATTTCTCCTGGACGGTCGGTCAGCTTTCCCACGTTGCATGTGCGTGTTGGGTGGCTGCAGGCAAAAGAGAGCTCGATGCCTTCCTGAGATTTCCCGGGCATCGTGGCTGGGGGAGGGGAGAGATCTCACTCGGGCGCACTTATGAACATGGCCCACTTCGTGTTGTAATATTAGTTGTGTGTGTTTAGGCCTTGCTACACGACAATTATGCTGCTAACGGGAAGCGTGGAGTGTGGCGAGGTGCGGCGCGATCTGGAGGAGCCGGTGCTCAGCGATGTGTGCTTTGTGCAGCCCCCGTACGGCAACCCGGCCGCGTTCGTGGAGACGCATTTTGGCAAGAATTCGGGCGCCAAGAATATGCAGTTCCGCAAGGGGACCACCACGCTCGCGTTTATCTACGAGCCGAAAACAGCCAGTGACAAGGGGGGCATCATCATCGCGGCCGATTCGCGTGCCTCAGCCGGCGAGTACATCTCATCCAAAAGCGTGCTCAAAATTCTGGACATCGGCGACCGGATGGTGGCAACGATGGCCGGCGGCGCCGCGGACTGTCAGTTCTGGACACGTGTGGTCGCAAAGTACTGCACGTAAGTGGTGATTTTTCTTTTTTTTGGCTATGGCGTTGTTTGGCTTTGCAGCGAGGGTGCGCAGTGTTGCAGATTGTACGAGCTTCGTGAGAAGAACGAGATCACCGTGGCTGCGGCAAGCAAATACTTCCAGAATGTTTTGTACTCGTACCGAAATCGCGGCCTCTCAGTGGTAAGTGATCTTTCAACTCCAAAACCGCATGCTTCTTCCCAACTGGCTTACTATTTCAAATGCTTATTTTTGCGAACGACACTGTGCTTGCCGAGGGAGATTTGCAAGCGTTGCAGAATCTATCAAGTGAGCAACAGAGAAAGGTTCAA